GGGATATGTAACGACCTCCCCATACAGTGCAATAGTCCAAAGATTTCCACCTTTACAGAGTTGAAAAAAATAAAACAATAAAGACCAAAAGGTGAACAAATTACAAGTTACTGAATCAAAAATAAAAAAACAAGCAATGTTCGCCAGGTTTATGCATTGTAATTTTAAAGTAATTTAGTTAGGAATAATATGTGACCATATATCGGATTTGGGAAAAAAGAGTAACTAGTGTTTAGGTATTTAGGCATATGCAGAGATCAGAGACTTTTTGAAATTATATTTAAACTCTTAAGAATGTATTTATTTTTAGTATAATTTTGGCCCAAATATAGTTTTAAAATGTGATTTTCTTACCCCATCTGCAGATCAGTTGGCTTTCATTTTCAGAAAGTGTTACGTATAAAAAAGCTGTACTTGTTTATAAATGTATTAAACAATTTACGCCTTTATACATGGTTCCTTTTTCAAAAAGCGAAAGTTATTCCACAAGTTTTAAGGTGACTGGGGCGAATATATGGAATGACTTAGATATTGATTTGAGAACTGCGACTTCTCTAAACATATTTAAATATAAATTGTACGAGGCACTAATTAAGAAAATATAACCAGTTACGACCATGTGCTTTAAATGCAGGGCCCCAATGGAAATCAGTGTTTTAACTGTTTGGGCTACCCTGGGTAACTAAATGTAAATAAATTAAATATTAAATGTAAATAGCATTCATTTTGATATTGCACATAACATATATTCTGAACAGGCATACATTTCAGCAAATAGTAACATTTCCTCACAACTAAAGCAGATATTTGAAAATAGAGTGGTATTTTTTACGGGTTTGATCATTCAAACAAGTTCCAAGCTAGCACCCTCTACTCAGAACAGAATATAATCCACAGCGGGCAATGCATGATATGCTATCTAAACTGCAATATTTCCTGTCTACCATTTCTTCATCGTAATATTTTGTAAATTAATTTACATTGCTATTTAACTAATGCAGAACTTCATTAACTAAAAAAAAAATTAACAAGGTTACAAAAAAGCTTTACTAATAAACGTTTTTCAT